CAGAAAATTGCTTCAACACTTGACCTCAGCTAAATCCATAAACCTAACCCTTAACCACTGTACACCTTTATTTGAAGGTATAATTTAGCCAATCAAGAAATAATCATATACCCTGATCTTCACCAAACATGTAGGGTGAAGTTATCAAAACTGGTGCAGACAATGTGGAGCAGTTGCCCATGACAACCAATCAGCATCCCTCTTCCATCTGCTCAGGTAAGATTTGAAAGAGAGACAGAGAAGCTGATTGTTTGCAGTGCAAATCTGCTGCAGATTTTGTCTTCTCCAGTTTCGATAAATTCCCCCCCCATAGCTCATTAAAGTTCATCAGCCAGCATAGTGTAGTCCCTGCTTGATGATCGCCCAACTCTAATGTATTTCACCCTTTTGGACTAAGTCGTGGAGCTCTACAACTAAGCCCAATGGAGTGAGATGTGTTAGCGTTGGGCGATCATGAGAACCCAACGTTCGGCCAGTACCTGCAGTGCACCAGAGCAGCCAAGCTTAGGTTTGGACGAAGCAGGTAAAGTGCAAAATTTAAACAGAGTGCCACCTCCGTGTGTAAATCGTTTATTAAGATAAATAAAACAAGGGATACATGCACTCACAAGCAAACATTTTCATCATTGATGATTCGGATGAAGGGGGCTTGCCCCTGAAATGCGTCAATCTTGGCTGACTGCGGACAGTGATGTAACTGGAGGTAACCGTGGTACATAGTCGGGGCGATACCATGTTGGGTTAACAGACAGTGTGGCCTCTTGTTTGTTGTTAAAGCGTGATGAAAACATTTGCTTGCGAGTACCTATATCCTTTGTTTTATGTATCTTAATAAATTATTTTACACACAGAAGTGGCGCTCTGTTCCCTTTTGTTTTCTATGTTTGTGGTGGAAGCCCCAGAGCCTTGGATGAGCAGCCCCTCAAGTCTGTGTGAAAAACTGTGATAAACTGTTGAAAGTCTTGAGTATGCAACAGCAAGTGGATCGTTCAGCTGGTAGCCATTAGCGCCAAGAGTTAAAGAAAACTGTCTAAAGTGCAAAATTTAGCCCATTATATTAAAAAATATATATATTTTCACTACAGTAAATATAATGTAGACACTGGTAACACAAAATTAAATACCATATTGGTATTAAACTGTTGTGTTATTGTACAACGAGCCAAAATGAAATGATTCAGGGAAGAATTTCTTCTCTACATTAAACATATAAGTCGCAAGGTTACTATAACAAATAAAAACCAAGCACTAAGATAAAAGAGAGGGTAAGATCATTTTTAACAAACAGCCCTGCACTGCAGATTCACCAAACAGTAGGGAGAGGCGAGATCTGTGTACTATAAAGGAATGACCACGGCTGAAGAAAAAGAAAATACATCTTTAACAAATCAGCGACTATGAGGCATTATGAATATCCTTTCAAAAGATTTTTTGAATGAGCTACAAAACTATCCATGGTCTACTTTAACCAGCTGGGGATCTTGGGCATAAGTTGTAAGCCTTATGTGTACCTCAAAAGAGTTTTCTTTGATCTGCATACACTGACTAAAAACATGAAAAACAAAATGTCAGGACTACATTGAATAGCACATTCATGTCTACTGGTTCCAGATCTGGCCGGTGCTGAAAAAATGTAGGTGGGTTAAAGTGACATGAAAGTCAATTTTGTTTCCCCTCCCCACAATGTTAAGTAAAACACTTACCTTAAATGATGTCTCTTAAACCGATCTTCCTCTTCTTTCCTGTCCTTTTCAGCCTTCTCTCCAGCGCTGCTGCGGGTCTCCGATCCAGCGCCGACTCCTCTGTCCTTGCTGGCACTTCCTGTCCCACGGTGTCTGCATGCGGGTGCACGCTGTCCATAGCCTTACCTTGCTTCTCTCCTCGTCTCCCGGCCGAAAATCCGAACTGCGCACGTCCCAAGATGCTTTGCGGCCGCCCGAGCAGTTTCGGATTTTCAGACGAGAGAACGTGGCGAAGACAGCGGTAAGTTTAAACCGCTTTTAAAGCGGTTTGTTTTTACATATATCTACTGCTTGCTAGCAGTAGATATATGCAAAAAAAAAAAAAAAAACAGAGGGTTTAGAAACCCTTTAACAATTAAACCCAGAGAGTTAGATTAAAGCTAATAAATTAGATGAAATTAGCATTCACATTAAAATTTTTATGCCTTTTTATAGTATATTTTTACTTTTGAACCTCTTGACGTTTCTGGGAGTCTTTCTATGCATAGGAGGCTTTCTATACAAGACAGGCTCCATTTTTCCCCTGCCCGATCCCAAAGTCCCAACAGTGTCTTGTCACGGTCTGTGAAGCTTCGGGGCACTCTGCATTGACAGCGCTGGGGCTCCGAGTAAAAGCGGTGCGCAGGCCGAGTTTTTTTTTTTTATGCCTGTGCTGAATATTGAAATCTCTTTATTCACTGCTGTCACTGGTAGCGTACAGGTGCACTCCCTCTGTGCATAGTCTTCAAACAGGGCCGATTGCCAAAACAAAAATACTTACATCATACATACATTATTATATGAATAGTGATGACAGGCAAGAAACTTTACCTTTGAAAGGGAATTTACAGGAGACAATCCTCCTGTTCCCAACATTATTCATGACTAACATTGGTGGTAGTACAGACTGCAAGCAGTCATCAGCAAATGGAAACTATGTGGCAGCAGCACATATCTCTTCATATTCATTATAAACGCCAGCATAGCTGTCACTACAGTCGCATAGGAAGACACATAAAATGCTTCTACAGAGCAAGAAATTAAGACACAAAGCTGCATACTGCAGATTTTTTGTAATCTCACAGCCCTCATTTATCTAATTAGAAAGGACATGCCATAACCGGCAGGATATAATAAATAGTTCCCCTTTCACACCATTCAGTGCTAAAGAAATGTTAAGCTGGTCAATTATCAATATTTTGGGCCAGGCAGGAAGATTTATATAGAAATTACTAATAGCCAGAGACATTTAAACAACAAGGGAAAGGTGGCAACCTTTTGATTCTGAAAACAAGGTGGCATATTGCTGTCTTGTATTTATCAAAACACCTTCCTACGCTATTGATTTTAGAATATCAGCAACCTTCAAACTGTTGGAATTTCAGCATTGCAAATTAAAGGGAAAGAGACATAAAAATCCATATTGCGATGGTGGAAAGGATGAGCTTTAAAAAAACTACTGTAAACTAGTATCTTATCCAGAAAACACACAGTCACATGTGAAGTTCAGACCTAGGAAGAAAAATCATAGTTTGGTCATTCGCCAATCCAGCATAGAAAATAGTGCTTGCAGTATTTTCTTCTGACCTAACCGGACCGCAGGCATTGATGTGCCTTGCATTCCCGTGCGGCCGATCGCATTGCACCACCACGCCTACTCCCTCCCCACAACAAAAAGAGAAGAAGTAGGAATATAAGGTATGTGGTGACAATAATATAAAGGGGGAACTCTGAAGGGGACAAATAGTGTAAGGAGGCACTGTAATGAGGGCAATAATTAGCTGTCCCCATCAAAGTGCCTCCTTACATTAACTATGAAATAAGGGGGCATTCAACTTAAGGGAGATGGCGAATTGCAGGGAGATGATCGAAAAGTAAGCGACCGACGTTATGTGTTCGCTCACTTCCCGATCTATTGAGCGGATGTGTGACAGTTTCATTGTCAAACGTCGGCTTGAACTATGAGGAGTCATTTTTACTCACCTCACAGTTCTCCTTTAACCCTTGCAGTGGGGCTACCCCCACACTGCAAGGGTTAAGGGCACGTTTTTGTCTATCGACGAAAACAAACAATTATACTCGCGCGATCCTCAATCTTTCAGGCCGGCTGAAAGATTGATCCTTCCAGACTCTGTCCCCCTCTGCTCCAGCCATGGAATGTTTCTCGGCATTCTAAAGTCCAATACACAATGTATTGGAAGAAATGACTCACGGTACCTTAGACTTTTATTTTCGCATCTAGATGAAAACAAGCGCTTAACCCTTGCAGTGCAAGGGTAGCCAAACAGCAAGGGTTAAGAAACATTTTGCCCAGCGTTCTTCTTTAATAATAAGATCATGAGTAATCATATTTCATCTAGATGACATGAACCATGTAATTCTGGAAGCTGATATCGAAGGTGGTGGCAAAAAAGAGCACCTAATTCAGTAGCTGAACCAATGCATTACAGTTAAAAGAAAATGGAAGCTAGAATCTGGTTTACTGGTACATACCACACCTAGGTTTCTTAAAATCACTCCCACTGGGTCAGAAAAGATAACCCTACAACCTGCGGATAGGTAATAACTTTTGCATTCATTTTATTTTTCCGATAGGAGTAAGCAGTATAAAAAGTGGAACCAACTAATCAAGAAAGCTGGAGGAACACTTACGTTTTGGCAGTGACATCCACGTACTGACCAGGACGGAAATGTGCAGCATAAAGGGGAGTACCTGTACGTAAAAGATAGAGGACGAATTACATTCCTAACAAACAATTCCACTGTTATTATGAATGCATGAAGACTTGTTGAATTGAATGTAACCCCAATCACTAACATCTCATACAAGCTTTAACAAGGTTATATACCTTTAGCTAGATTTTGATTAGAGGTGCACCAAAATGACATTTTTAAAACCGAAACAAAACTGAAAATAAAAAATGTCAGACCAAAACCAATTTTTTTTTTCTAACCTTTTCACACTTTTTAAATTATTTTATTTTTATAGTTTGTTTATAAAAATATTTTTAAAAACATTAAAACGTTTATTTAATATAT